ATCCCTGTTTTCATATGGGGTGCAGCCCTCAGAGCCTCCCAAATCCCTGTTTTCTCCTCATATCCTGCATGGGCCAGGCCTGTGCTGCAGGGAAATCCAGGTGGGATTCCTCCAGCACATCCTTAGACTCAATACAAAGATAAGTGCGGAAATATTTGGGAAGGATTTGGCAGGATTTTCAATGGGAAAATGATGGATTTGGGGGCGAAGTAGGGAAAACAATGGATCTGGGAATAGGAGGAGGTGGCACGTCACTGATATTACCCATATGGAGCTGATCCAGCACCCACTGGGTTTTATCTGTCCCAGGCTGTTTTTATCAGGGAAAAAAATCATCTCTGAGGGGTTTTAACCTGATTTTGTCAGTATTTTATCTACTTCAGAGCATTTTGATAAGGGAAAAATCAATCCTGAGGGATTTTAGCCTGATTTTATAAATTTTATCTTTCTGAGGGCATTTTTATTAGGGTCAGAAGTAGACTGAGGGGTTTAACCTAATTTTATCCCTTTTTTTTAACCTGTCTCTGGGCAGAGCCCTTTTCATGAGGGCAAAAATCATCTCTGAGGGGGTTAACGTGATTTTATAGTTATTTTATCTGTCCCACGGTGTTTTTATCAGGGTAAAAGTAATTTCTGAGGGACTTAAACGTGATTTTATCAGTTATTTCATGTGTCTCAGAGCAGACATTTTGATCAGGGCAAAAAATCCTCTCTGAGGGGTTGAGCATGATTTTGTCAGTTTTAGTTTTCTGAAGGTGTTTTTATCAGGGCAGAAATTAACTCTGAGGGGCTTGAACCTGATTCTATCAGTCATTTTACCTTGTCTCGTGATAGAGACCATTTTATCAGAGTAAAAATCTCTGAGGGGTTTAACCTGATGTTATCACTTATTTTATCTGTCTTCTGCCAGAGACATTTTTATGAGGGGAAAAAATCCTCTCTGAGGGTTAAAACCTGATTTTTGTCCATTCTCATAGCCTTTTCAGGAATTTTGGACACTGGGAACTCAATGCTGCCTTAATTTGGGTGTGGTGTCATCTGGTGGTGGGGATTTCTCCTCCTTGGGGATATATTTCGCCTTGTGGATGTGTCTCTCCAGGAAAAGCAGCCATCCCAACACCCTGGGAAGCTTCCCCTCACATCCCAGAGGATTTGGCGCCAAGACCTGGAGAGAATGTTTGGAATTGGGCTGCATTTCACCTTGAAAAATTTGCTTTTGCCATAACATTTTTGGATATGGGTGTTTATCCAGCAGTAAGGTTCAGTGGCAATGAGGGAAAGGCCCATCCTGGAGTTTGACCATTCCTTCTTCCTTGCAGGATCCACACAGGGGAGAAGCCCTTTGTGTGTGACGAGTGTGGGGCCCGCTTCACCCAGAACCACATGCTCATTTACCACAGGCGCTGCCACACAGGTGAGGCTGGAAAACTGGGAAAGTCCAATCCCAAACATTCCAGTGAAAATGCTGCCTTCAGAAAATGCTTTTTGTTCACATTTTTATAGATAAAATGAGATATTGTTGTCTCTTAGCTGGGATTTGTCTGAGAAAAGTTCCCGATGATATCCCGTGATATGAAGCTGAGGGAGGGTTGATTTAAATTGAATTTTGGGAAGAAATTCCTCCCTGTAAGAGTGGTGAGGCCCTGGAAGACTTTTCCTAAAGAAGCTGTGTAGTCCCCATCTCTGGAATTCCAGGCCAGGTTGGGAGTGGCTTGGAGCAACCTGGGATAGAGGAAGGTGTCCCTGCCCATGGAATGGTGTGGAACTGGGTGACCTTTTAAGTATCCCCACAGCAAGGACATGCTCCAGAATTTCCCAAATGCTCTTAATGCTTGTTATATCCTGCTTTTCCCCTTTTTTAGGGGAAAGGCCTTTCATGTGTGAAACCTGTGGGAAGAGCTTTGCCTCCAAGGAATACTTGAAACACCACAACCGGATCCACACAGGATCCAAGCCCTTCAAATGTGAGGTTTGCTTCCGGACCTTTGCCCAGAGGAATTCCCTGTACCAGCACATCAAAGTCCACACAGGTAAGATGTCCCCCTTTTTTTGATACACAGGTAGGATGTTCTCCTTTTCTTGGATA